GTTTAGAGCAACGCCAAACAGCGTCATGTCGAAACCATCCGAGAAGCCGCAGTCGCAACCGCCCGCCATCATGAGCGACGAACCGGGCAAGGGCATAAAAGTGAGTTGAGGTAACATTCCTAGTCGCAGGACATCAATTGACCCCTCATTGCAGCCCCTCGGCACGCCCGACATAACCAGCCTCCAGCGCGTCCGCCAGGTCTTTGCGCAGCCAGTTCTGGCTTCCTTCGTCGCCGGCGGCGTAGCTGGCGCGGTTTCACGAACCGTCGTATCGCCCCTCGAACGCCTCAAGATTCTATTCCAAGTCCAGAGCGTTGGTCGCGAGGAATACAAGATGTCAGTACCCAAGGCTCTGGCTAAGATGTGGAGGGAAGAGGGATGGAGAGGGTTCATGGCCGGAAACGGTACCAACTGCATACGGATTGTACCATACTCGGCCGTACAGTTCAGCGCATACAACGTCTACAAGCGGGTACGTCTATTTCTCTTCTGTTCAGCGTGTTCTTGATTTCAGCGAGCGACTTGCTTTTCAAACATTGGGTTGGATGGGACAAGGTAAGGGCGGACGAAAGAGAGAGGGCGGTAAGTTGGGAAGGATCCGAAGCTTCGCCGATGGAATGTTCAAAGTGAGCCGGGAGGAGACATACAAGGACACGGAGGTTTCCGCAAAGACGACGATGGCCATGGTATGTCCCAAAGTTTCATAGCTAACTTGCCTTAGTTCTTCGAGAGCGAACCAGGTGCCCCTCTCGATGCCTACCAGCGACTACTCTGTGGTGGTCTTGCTGGTATCACCTCCGTCACGTTCACCTACCCACTCGATATCGTCCGAACACGCCTATCCATCCAGTCCGCATCGTTCTCCGATCTCAAGAAGGAGGCTGGCCAGAAGCTACCGGGCATGTGGGCACTGCTTACAACTATGTACAAGACCGAGGGCGGTTTCCCGGCGCTATACCGTGGCATCCTTCCCACAGTGGCTGGTGTCGCACCGTATGTCGGCCTTAACTTCATGGTGTACGAGATCGCCCGTACCAAGTTTACACGCGAGGGTCAGAAGGACCCGGGTGCCATCGGCAAATTAGGAGCGGGTGCCGTCTCCGGTGCTGTTGCGCAGACCATCACATACCCATTCGATGTCCTGCGGCGGAGATTCCAGATCAACACCATGAGCGGTATGGGATATCAGTACGCAGGAATCGGCGACGCTATCAAGCAGATCATCAAGACAGAAGGCTTCCGGGGTCTTTACAAGGGTATTGTGCCCAACCTTCTCAAGGTCGCGCCTAGCATGGCTAGCAGTTGGCTCAGCTTCGAGATGACACGAGACCTGCTCATGGGCAAGGGGAACTCGGGCTTCTTGTAGGACAGACAGTCCCACCTTCACCATCGTCGAAACGAACTACGGCAGAAGAAATCGACGAGACACTTCACATTACGAGCGCTCTTCCGACGGGAAGAAAGATACACGAAACCGTTCACCGACAACAGGTGGCATTGTATAACGTCAACGAAAGCGATTGATACAAAACACGAGCATTGCATTTGGGAAGGATCAGCACGGCCTGGGGGGTCTGATTTGGGAACGACCTCCCATGGATAACAGCGAAGGCGTTTGACTGGGTTTTAGTCCTTGCAAGGTTGCACAGCATTCACATGCAACTTTTCCTTCTTCCTCTTTCTCTAGAGCCGGAAAAGAACGAGCGGTCATGCATCATACATAGAAGCATATTCGAGTCTGCCAAGCGGACATGATTTGGCATGGCTTGTACAATATAGATAGTTTCATGGTGGACCTGGGAAACTGGGGATAATGGAACTGCTTTACATCAATACCTGTCCGTGATGTATAGAGCAGCGAGTATTCCGCCTAGTCCAGCACGTCATTTTCTATCCTCATCCCTCATGCATGAGTAGAACAGAGGTACATGTCGTCACTGACCCTCTCCCTTCCACCGCACAACTACTCATCCCCTTTCAAAGCCCGTCATTCAAGCGCTTCACCGCAACCTCTGTCACGTTCAGCACATGTACTGTTCTCCGTCAGTACCGCTCTACACTATCCCTTCAAATTGGAATACAGATACTTACATGCCCTTGCACCCATGACAGAAGCAATAAGAGTGCTCACACTGCTCGTCGCGACAGTAGTCCCAGCTCTTTTTTCCTTTCTAGTATTCATGCTTGTGTGAGTCTTTGTACGTAGGAGAGGGGGGTGTTGGAGTGCGTACGTTGTGACATGTATTGAGCTTGTCGATGCAGATGTTGCACCGTTTTTTGGCGGCTGTGGTGACGTGTGCTGGTGTGGGGTTTCGGTCTGTGTTGGTGATGGAGCGGGAAGAGCGGGTTGATCGTGTTGTGGGTGTGAAGGCTGTAGTGGCCGCGACTAGAACGAGGAGGCAGGCCAGTATAGCGATGGGTTGGATAGGAAAGTGCATGATGTTGGGTTTGGTGATAATTGAATTTCTGTGGAAGCAGTGGAGTGATGGAGTGTCCAAGATCGAAGCGGGATATGTAAATAGATGTTTAGTATTCTACGTGTCTGGCAATCGTCATACAAACTGAGCAGTGAGTCACTGGCCTAGAAGTGTTTGATGCCTGAATGTGAATTGCGCGTCGAAGTGATTAGCAGGGTGTCACATGTAAAACCTGCACACGTAAATAGTTGAACTAGTGTGACATTTGAGATGGTCTACAGGGAGATCAACCCCACGACCTTTACTCCGAATGCAAGGGAAAATGTTACAGTATTTACAAAGACCCTCTATAGCTCGCCGTCCTTCCGCAGAGTCTCGTTACCCCAGGGCTCGCTTGTCAAGCAAGTCAATCCAGCAGCTGGCTCGCAGCTCTTCCTTCCACTCAATGGTCCTGGCGATGGCAGCTTGAGGCCACCAGCCGCGTATTGGCGTCCCTGCTCGTTGGCAAGAGCCTCACCGGCGCCCGCCTCTACGTTCAGCGATCCCTTGCCAGATGCCAGACCCTTGCCTCCGGGCTGCGCACCAGTGGATTGTTCGGCGGCCTTGAGGGCCTTGAGCAGGTTGACTGTCGAGTCGTATGTGAGGTCCTCGTAGTAGTCGTCGTTGATCTGGACCATGGGCGCGTTCGCACATGCACCAAGGCATTCGACCTCGGAGAATGTGAAGAGGCCGTCTGCCGTGGTCTCGCCGTGGTGTACGCCCAATACGTCTTCGCAAGCCTTCATGACGGAGTCACTGTCGCAAAGCATGCATGGGGTCTTGGTTCTGTCAGCTGCTGCCCTCGATGCCAAACATGGTTTCTACTCACAGTTGTGCAGACCTGGACGTGGAACTTGCCCACGGGGTCCCGGTTGTACATGGTGTAGAAAGTCGCAACCTCGTATACACGCATTGGTGGCATCTCCAGTATCCGCGCAACCTCGTTCATGACGCTGATGCTGCAGAATCCGTGCTGGCGTTGTCCGAGGTCGAGAAGCGGCATTACGGCAGCCTTCTTGTATTGGGAGGGGTATCGAGAGACGATCTCTTGGATGAGTTCCTCATTTTGTGGTGTGAATTTGAAGGGAATTTTGAGGTTATTTTGAGGCGTGTCGCGGTGCTACAGGCGTATTAGCTCGGCTTCCAGGGCAAGATGAATGAATTACATACGACGTTGAGCGAGCCGCTCTCGTTCCACGACGGTCGCGAAACGCTGAAAGCCCGCCATTGAGCCCTCTGGAACTGTCGCGAGGCCCGTGGGGCAATCCTGCATGCGAGGGGGACGAGTCTTGAGGCCATGGTGGGTTGTGCTGCGGGCTGGAGGCGATGGCGTCGATTGAAGATGTCAACGATGAAGCTCATCCGAAGCGCCAAGTAAATGTGCAGGGGTCGTTGCAATCAGCCGCCTCTGATTGGTCGCGCCCAACATCTCCACTCCGTTGTACCTTCGACGCTTCCTCACTCCTTCTCCGCATGGTTCAGGTCATCCTAACATCGCTTCATATTGTGCGTGATCGATGGCATTACCTGATCGCCGTTCTCCCGTAGCTACATGGATCCACGACTTCGCTGCTTGAAACACATTACCGCCTTTGCTGCAGCGAGCCATGCCCAGTGCAGTCGAGGACGCCACGTAGCTATCCCCACCGACACCGTCCTCGTGCGTTTCGTCGCTGCTGCGCACTGCGGAAGCTTCATTTTTCTCTGGCATCCGCGGCAGTCTAGCCTGCGGATTCCTTTGTTGGCAACGTCCCGTATTAGTTTCTGCGCAAAAAATGGCTCGGTACAGAGCCGCATCGATGCTCGTGGAATGCGCCTACGGCGGTCAACCACGTCTGATGGAACTGTGGGTCTGCTAACACACACGCTGGGGGCACCTCGCGACATTGCATCCTTAGGAGTAGCAGTCGGTGGACTGAGAGACGCATAGGATTCTTCCCTCTGTGCCGTCGTAGGTGGAAAGATACCCTAGCCATGGTGTCTGACCAATCGGCCGCTGTTCGCCTCATTGACGGCGCTCTGCGCGGACGCAGGCTGGCTTGCCGTTTGATGAGTTGTACTAATGTTTGCACTGTCAATTCGGTATCTTCACAGGCTTACAACACCGGCCGCTTCTTCCAGCCATGTTTCAGAGTCATATGATACCACTACGTGTACGTGTACATCACTCATGCAGCACTTCACTAGTATATGGGGGCGGTCAACATCTGCGCCATATAAGTATCAGTTGCTACTATCATAGCATTTCCTGATCTCCTTCAACGGCCCTACCCTTTACCCCACTACTACGCTGCCGACCTGCACTCGCGTTCGTCTCGTGGCTCACCCACATATTCGCCCACCATGTGCAAGTACACAATCACGATACTTGAATGCGGTCACAAAATCGATGATTATGTCGAATCTCGCGATTGCCCCTACTACCAAAGGACCACCGTACAGTGTGACCGTGACAACCCGAGGCACAAAGATCGCTGCACCGTAAAAACCAGAGACCAAAACGGAATTTGCAATAGATGTCTCCGCGACAACGAAGAAGCCGCCATGCGCCGTGACTTGGAAAAAGAAAGAGAACACAAACGCCGAGAAAACGAAGAAGCCGCAGAAGCATTCCGACGTGGGCAGGAAGAACTTAAAGAGAAGAACCGCCGGGAGGCGGAAGAAAGACGACGGGCTCAGCAAAAAGCCGACGAAGAAGCCAGAGACAGAGCCCGCCGGGAAGCGGACAGGAAGCAGCGAGCTGAGGAAGAAGCCAGGGAAAGAAGTCGCAGGGAAGTCGAAGAAAAACGCCGAGCGGATCAGAGAGCCGAAGAAGAAGCTACGGAGAAACGCCGCCGGGAAGAAGAACAACGACGTCGGGCGAAACAAAAAGCCGACGAAGAAGCCAGGGACAAAGCCCGCCGGGAAGCGGACAGAAAGCAGCGAGACGAAGAAGAGGCCATGGAGAAGCGCCGCCGGGAAGTGGAGCAAAGGCGACGGGACAAGGAGGAAGCTATGGAGAGAGACCTCAGGGAGGCGGAAGAAAGGCGGCGGCAGGCCAAGAAAGAAGCCGATGAAGAAGCCATTGCGAGAAGACGACGGGACCACGAGAGAAAGATGGCTGAAGATGAGCAGGAGTTGCTAAGAAAGATGGCAGAGGATGAGGAAGCTCTTGAGCGACGCAAGAGGGCATATGAGAAGAGAATAGCAGAAGAGGAAGAAATCGAGAGACAGCGCAAGGCGGAGCTCGACCGACTAGCCAAAGAACAACGCGATCTGGATTTGATGATCCAAAAGTCCAGAGAAGAAGCAGATAGGAAGAAGAGAGAGGAGGAGGAAGAGGCGCAGCGAGCTCTGAGGGAACAGGAGAGATGGGAGCAGGAGAGGAAGTACCGAGAGGAACTAGTAAGTCCAAGTCTTATATCATCTCAACATCAGTTACTAACCTCACCCTCCCACAGCTCCGATCAAGGACCGCCGCACCACCATCACCACCCGCCACACCACCCGCGCCCCCAGCCCCCGCCCCCAAACCCGCCGTCAACAAATCAGCACCCCGCCCCCCTCCAGCACCCAAGCCCGCACCAAAAGAAATCAACTACTCTCTCCCCGCTGTTGGCGACCAAACATATGGTCACATGATGCTAGGCAACCGTCGTGCCCCCATGCACCCCTCGCAAGAGATCCCCGGAACGCCAACAACCTCAGGCATCCCCATGTCACCCACGAGCCCGGCACCATTCGCACGTCTCGGTGGCGCCATCGCGGCTTCTGATGTCCCCGTCGTGAGGGAGGTTAGGGGCCAGATCCCGCCTGTCATGCCCGTCGCTATGGACTCGAGGGCAGGATTCAGGCGGACGAGCGAAACGAGGAGGCCGCCGCCGCCCGTGCCGCAGCGCAAGCCATCATCAGGCATGGAGGGCATGGATCCTGTTTTGAAGGCAAAGTTGGAGAAGAGGAGGGCTTGGGAACCAGAAGAGGAGGAGAAGAAGGATGTCTCGCCGCCGAGGTCTCCTGGGCAAGAGCCTAACGCACGAAGGCTGAGTCCGTCTGAATTTGATACTAAACGTAAGACGGGCTGGAAGAAGGACGAGGCGTGAGCTTTTTTTTTGTTTTGCATTGAAGGTGTTGAGGGCGCAGTGAGTGGGAATATGACTTCATTCCTTTTGTGGTATCTATCTTATGTAGTATCTCACAATCCACCACAATGTTCTTTCCATCATGGAGGAAAGTTTCTCATATCGTCCCTGGCTAAATTCCGTACTAGTACATGATACTGTATCAGGCATCGGTGTCTATCCGGATGTAGTACTCCCGCTTCAGGAAGTTGGCGACGTGATCTACCTCATTATACTTGACCTTGGAGGGATCTTTGATGTTCTGGCGCCTCTGACCACACTCATCGAGACTCTGGCACTGAATTTAGTTAGCAGTGAACTACTATCATGTACATAGGACTTCAACTCACCATGTCGGGATCACGCTTAGCATACTCAAAGAATGCATCCACCTTCTTGATATAGTCCGGAGTTTCGAGGTTGTTTGTCCCCAGTATACGCATTGAGTCGCATGCATATCTGACATCGTTAGCACGCATATCTCAAGGAACCGTGAAACCAAACTTACGCCGTGACATTTCCTCCAATCTCCTCCTCTTCCACAACATCCATCACAAGCTTAGCAGAGACGATTCGGTCAGCATGATCGAGCTGATCATCGTCATTGTCCGTAGAAAGAGCCGACTGGTAATTCATCACGCGAATTTGGTTGGCTCGGCGATCGCGAAGAATGGTCGCGATGATGTCCTTCAGATCGTCGATCGTGTACGTGGCCTTGCCGTCGGTAGTGGTAATCTCCGATATGTCTGCGCTGTACAGTTTCTTGAGCGACTCCTCGCTGTACGCTTTGTAGCCTTCTCCGAAGTATGTACTGTCCGGGAGACGAAGGTAGAGGATCTGTGCATTCGATAGGCCGAGCAGTGAAGAAGAGACGATGGTGTGTTTGCCAATCTGGACTGTGGTCTCATTGGCCACTGTGGTATACTGGTTAGTCTCGTTGTGCAGTATGAGGATCTTTTATGGAACCTTACGTGGCGCTTCCTCGTTCGAAGAAGAGATGGACTGCGTGCCATCCGGCCTAACGGAGGCCACGTCGGACATGAAACTGTAGGCATCTTCGAGGCCGCGCTCCAACTCCTGCACTCGAGTGTTGTTGGCTGCTTCGCCGCCGCTATCCGCTGTGAAGACGACCGTAGTGACGCATTTGAAGACATAGAGGTCGTGGTAGAGATCTGGGTTCTGGAAGAGCAGGCCATCGACTGTATGGCCGGTGAAGTAGATAGAACCACTATGCGCATTAGCTTCATTGGTCTTGCTGAAGGTAAATCTCCAAGCCTACCCAGTGCACGGAAAGGGCGAGTCCGCAGTAGCAGAAAGTGCTGCTGTTGCGAGAACCGTCAGTAGCGCGGCATAGACCGAGAAGCAGCGTGGCGCAATCATGTTGTTGAGAATTGAGCGAAACAGGTGCGAAGGGATGTGAGGGATCGATGCGGCAGCGGGGGAAGGTGTGGTTAAAGAGAGGAGGGAGTGAGGGTGATGGTGAAGTTTATCGAAGTGCCAAGCTGGGACGTCTACAGAAGGAGCAGCCGCGGCGACCCTGAGGTGTAACAAGGAAGGTGCGACCCATGGCCACCTTCACCTCTGTTTTCGTACTCTTCCAAGACAGGAAGTCACGATGGAACACAGGTAGTCGAGGCAGTCTTGCAAACATTAAAAACATAACATCCATAATAGAGTGTACGAAGGAAAAAGTATTACGCATAATTACAGGAATACAACTCAATGCAGTGATATCGTAACTTCGTTCTCATGAACCAACCCATCTCGAAACGCCCAAACACAGTAAAGAAACTCCAAGAAACATGTATTAAGTGCCTCTGTAAAACAAAAAGATACATGCGAAAGGAAAGAGAGAACTACCAAAGCAAGAGACGCTATCGAAAGATGTTTTGCAGAATACTCTCCAACTTCTCCGCCAATGGATCCTCAGGCTGCTGCCTCCCGCGCTCGTCGAAGCGCGGTGGTAGTTCGATGGTAGCATCCGAGGTATCTGACCCGGGGCTCTCAGAGCGGTGGCGCCTTTTCCGGGCCCTACCAGACTCTCTTGTAGCATCCGATCGTTCGTCATCCCTGCGTCGCCTGTGTCGCTTGTGACCGTGATCGTGATCATCTCGATGTCTGTGTTGCCTTTCGGAATCGGAATCGGATGAAGACTCCCGTGATCGTGAGGCCGATCGGGAGGGTATCTCTCGTTCTTGTGGGATCGGGTCGAAATGGACGCTCTTGTCTTCTTCCGGGGACGGACTCGGGCTAGGCGGTTCGTCTACGGGCCCTGTTTTGGTATTAGCAAAATTGTTCAGATTCATGGGCAGGCAGCGGCCTCCACCCACCACGTGAAGACGCAAAGTTATGGTGCTCTTTACCGCCATCAGGGACTGGAGCACTCACATTGTCACCCCCACGTCGTGGCTGGCCGTAATAGGGTTCGTGTTGTTGCTGGTGCTGGGGTGCATATGGATTGCCGAGATGCAAGTCGTCGTGTGGCGGGTTGACGAAATGTGAGGGATGGTTTGGCTCGTATGCGCTCTGGGGAGGCGGAGGGAAGTCTGCTGGGTTATACGGAGGATAAGGATTGTTGGTGTTGGGATTGAAGTTGAGGTTGGGGTTGGGGTCTACCGGAGCACTAGGGGGAGGGGGAAAGTAGTTCGTCTCAGGGAAGTAGCGAGAGTCGTTAGGATGAGCAGTGGAGGCAGTGGACACAGTGGTGGGAGTGGGACTATCGTAGGGGCTGTAGGTGCCTGTGGAGTAGGCTGAATCCTCCTCGCCTGGTGATGTTGAGTATGCTAATTGCGGTGTGGGCGTGGGGTGGACTCACGTCGTCGTTCGGCTTCCTTTTCGGCCTTCTTACGGTCGCGCCGCTTCGCTGCTTCATGGGCAGCCAGACCAGCTACACCGGCAACCGCCGCCGTCTCCGCGACCTTTCGTGATCGACTCTTACTGCGGCTCCGGCTCCGGCTTCCACGTCGACCACCAGAGGAAGACGAGCTTCCTCGCCGTCTACGGTGCGCGCGGCTGCGGTCCCGGCTTCGACTGCGACTACTGGCACGATCGGTGTACACCGGATCATCGCCGTACTCTACTAAAACAGGTTCACTCACTGTACTTCCACGTCTGCTGCGGTTGCGTCCGGTAAGGCGGGAGAGGACTGACCTGGACCTTGAGCGCGACCTCGACTTGGACCGCGATGCCGCCCTAGCCTCCTTCTTAGCCTTGCGTTTCTCATAAAGTCCAGTGACAGCTGCGCCGGCAACGCCAGCGGCAGCAATCGGAACACCCTGTCGGATCCGGCTAGGTGAGCGCTTGCCCTTGCGCTTTCGAGACTTGCTACGGCTGCGTGCCGCAAGACCGGCTACAGCAGCAGAGGCAAGGCCAACTTGCGCTGCTCTGTTGTTGCGATGCTCAGGGTCTAGGTGTTTGCTCGTGCTACGAGACCTACCCCTGTCATCAGCCACTGAGGCGGACCTGGATCTTCTTCGGCTCTTCCTAGAACGCGATCTGCCTCCATGACGTGACCTGCTTCGGTGCCGATCTTCTATGACCGTAACCGTCTCCTCTTTGACCACCTTGTTCTTGTTCCTCTGTCCGGCAGCATAGGCGAGAGCTCCAACACCGGCGAGTGCGGCAAGCGTGCCCAGCTCCTTCACCCTCGACTTGCTGCGGTGGCGAGATTTGGCACGGCGGCTGCCTCTGCCACGATCAGAAGAAACAGACCGGGATCTGTCACGGTTGTTAAATCTATCGAGAGCCACAGCACTCACAGCACCGAGCGTGCCGTAGCCAAGGGCATTTCCTATGTTGCCTCCAGCGGCTTCACCCTTTCTCTTGCGGTGATGCCTGATGATTTGTCCTGCAGCGACTCCGGCAAGAGCACCTGCAGCAACATCACGTTTGGTGCGGGTCTCACTTCCGCCCCAGGTATCCTTCTCCTTGTGGATGTAGATGTCGTCGTCGCTGTAGTAGTTCTTATCTCCCCACCGGTGGTCATATTCACGCTCGTCGGCGTATCGCTCATCGTAGCGACCGCCGCGATCGATCTCCTTCACTCTGCGCTCGTAGTAGTAATCTTCCTCGTGGCGCTGCGGACGAGCGACCTGTCTGTCTTCTTCAGTACGTTCAACAAGCTCGTAGGAGGGCTCTTGGACGCGCTCGCGGATGATGATGGGTTGAGGGGCTTCCTCCCGGATAATAATAGGCTGCATCTGCATCTGCATGGGTGGCATCTGCTGGGGCTGGGGGGCCTCATTGCGGATGTAGATGGACTGGGGCTGGGGTGGTGGGGGTTGGGGCAGCGGCTCGGGGCGGAAATACTCAGTAGACCTCGAGTACTTCTCCAACTCATAGGGCTGCTCCCGTGGGAAGATCTCGCGCTCGCGGTCGTAGTCCCGGGAGATGCGGATCTCGGTGCGCGCTGGTGAGGGGGAGCGCTCGTATTCGCGCTGGATGCGATACTCGGAACGAACGGGCGAAACTTCGCGCTCAAGCTCGGCGTAGTGGTAGTGTCTCACTTCTCGTTGGGGAGCGGGCGCTTCATGGCGCTCGATATGGTAGTCCTTGACGGAGCGACGGTCGTCGAAGTCGTCGCGCCCACGGTGGACCATGCGCATCTCGGTCTCGTACGTGTCTTCCTCGAGGCTGTGATCAGGCACTTTGTAGCGCCGCACCGTGGTGTAGCCAGTGGCACCGGTGCGCGTCGACGTGGTGTCCCACTCGCGGTCGCGCTCGCTCCTCTTGTAGATGACCGACATGGTGCGGCGTGGAGTCGTGGAAAGAGAAGTGGAGGGGCAAGTTGCAGTGGCTCGGAAGTGCGCGCAATGCAATGCAGGAGGGGAGCAGAGGATAGGGGATGTTTGTAGACTCTGGCGGCGGGTGCTCGCCTACGTAGCCAGTCGTGGTGACTCGCTGCTAGGCGTGACTGTGAACGGCTGAGCGAGGGCGGGTACTCGCAGGCGTCGATCGCGAGCGGGCGGGGCTGGGTGATTGGCGAGAGTGTTGATCAACACGCTCACTATCGTTGGGGATGCGCAATACTGGCGGACTGCGATAGCAAACGAGGTGGGGTAATAAGAGGGTGAACGCGAGTAGGGCAGACGACGTCAAGTGTCAGGAATAGCGGACCCCGTCAGAAGACTTGATTCTGGCCTGCCCAGAAGGCAAGAGGTACCCTGAGGCCGATGACGTCAAACCAATCGCACCACCTCAACCGACCGCACGCTGGACCATGTGTTTCAACACCGCGTCTCCAGTGACTAAATACATACGGGCGCCGTCGGGCAGTGCCTGTCTGCGCGCAGTCTGTCTGCCTTACCTAGGTACCCTCTTCGCAGACAAGATGGGCACACCGCGCCGTCGCAGCCCTACATCGAGCCACGACGGGAGCGCGCGCATCGCACATTATGCGAACCATTACCTGCAAGCTGTCACATTCGCTAGAAGTTTCTTTTTGTGGGCACCAAGAACTCACCGGACATTGCGCCATCACCTATGCGCATAGCCCCGCATGCGGTGAGCGCTCGAGCATGTGGACGGTGCTTCTGCGGCTGACAACGACTCACGCCGCTGACTGCCCCTTCCCCATCGCTGCCGGCTGCCTGGTGACTCCATCAACGGGACAGCGGCATCGAAGATAGGACTTGGGCCCAACCTGGCACCAAGCTGCAAGACAAGAACCTTCCTGCGTCACCGCACGCAAAGCCCAAAAGTGAAGCAACCCAATACTCCCAGGGTCACCCTGCCCACCTCGCATAGAACGCCTCGCAAGAAGCATGTTCTTGACGCGATCGACAGAAAACTACATCGATGAGACCGTTGAAGAGTTTTTCCACGACCGTGAACTCGCCGGATCCTTTGCATCGTGACGGAGCAGCACCTACCCAACGTACTGAACACATCGCGGGCGTGCATGCTACAAGCCAGACCCTCGCTGCAAGGAAGCGCACTGTGTCTGACCTACTTCGATCGATTGAGGCGTACATCAGAGTACCGTGAAGATCGGGATAGTATCCAACAGGCTGCACCATGCAGACGTCCAAAGCACTGCCTTAAGAACCCAGTGCACACCCTCACCACCATCTGCATCCTTCCCACGACCCGCACCGTGAGACTCTGCCTCTTAGTCCAGTAGATCTGTCCTCCCGTAGCGACCACATCACTGCCGAAACAAGCCACATTCTTGCTATTGGACATGTCTCAGCGTCCTGACGACTCACCACCTGGAGTGACTGTGTGAAACGAAGCCACCTCCAGGCAGATACCCACTTTTCTCTCTCGCTCACCGGAGACGCATAGGTGCCGGTAAACACGGCTGGGCGATAACACTGACTGTACGTGGCCTCCCGTCTGTGTTTCAAAGAGGGGCGACACTGGGGGCCAGATGACTGCGC